ACACATATATATGTATATTATACACATTATATGTACATACATAAATGTATATTGTGTGTATACATGTATGTGTATGCAAATGACTGGTCTTGTTTTTAGACAGCCTAAACTTGTCTTGATTTCCTTCCTAAAAAAATTTACCCAATATTTTCTTTTTATTAACACCAGAAAAATGATATCCTCATATGCCTTGGTGTCAGATTCTGTTGTTGATGTAACTTTCTTCTCATAATGTTATTTATATTCTTCCAAACTTTCAAAACCTGAAGGATCTACTCAGAGCAAAGGTAAGAATGGATGAAAGTGAAAGTCGGTGACAGAGAAGGAATAAGGTGAGAAATAGCATGGACTTGGACTGTATGCACACTAACACTTCTTTACCCTTGCCTTACACAGTCACAGTTGGGACTAGCTCCTCAGACATGCTTTTGCCCAAAGCACTGTGCACTATGATGTAGGTGTGGGAATGATTAACAGGGATCATCCTCACTGAAGGATATAGATGATTACAAGAAGCCAATTGATAGTACAAAATGGGTTTCACAATTCTTACTCAATGTCTGTACAAAGTGCTCTGGCAGAGTTCCTATAGGCAAGAAAGTATTCTTGAAGAATAGCCCAGATACTGGCTCTGGGATGAAGAAAACCCCTTCTTCAGTTCCTTTGCCAAGTTAAATTGCCCATGAAATACTACAGAGAGTGTGCACAGGGAGATGGAGACTGATAATTGTTGTTGTTGTTGCTGCTGTTCTTGTTGTTTTTAAAGTTACTAGAGTTAGCTTAAGGAACCAAACAGTGATGCATTGATATTTCAAGACTGAAAGATTTTCATGATTGAAAGTAGGAGTCAGAAGGAAAAGTCAGAAGTAATTAGCAAATGTGAGAACAAATAGCACAGGCTTGGGAATTTCCCATTGGCCCTGGTGATGGGAACTCTTTCCCAAGGTCCTAAAGAAAATACACCACGGGTGATGGAAACTATTTGAGCCTTTACAAGTAACAATAACCGTTAACAACAATAATAATAACTTCCTATTCTATTAGTATTCTAAAGGAGGGTTTATTCCAGTACTGGGGAGTACATACCTCATATATAACCTATATGTCTACAGAAGTCACCATAATGGTCCATATATACTATGAACCTCAAAAATAAGATTCTTCTGAAAGGAAAAAATGTATAAAGGCATGCACTAGAAAAAAATCAGTTAACGGATTATTTAAAACAGTCAGGTTTTAAGAGGTAGAGAAACATACTCGATAGTATTGGACTTACATTCAGGAAAAAAATTCAAATCTTTCCTCTGACACTTACTAGTTCTTTGATCACAGGTAAGTCAGTCTGTCTGGGCCTCAGTTTCCTCATCTGTAAACATAAAGATAATAATAATAATTTTAGTTCCTACCTCACAGTTTCTTGTAAGGCTCAACTCGGATGATGTAAATAGAGTGCTTCAACAATCCAAAGGTGCTTTATAATATTAGTCATTGTTATTTGAATAAAAGAGATACTGGTAGTAGAGCCTAAGGACCTGGGTTTAAGTCTGACACTTCTTAGCTACAACTATGGGCAAATCACTTAACCTTTTCTTGTCCTGAGTTTCTCATCTATAAAGGAGGGAGTAAAACACTTATATTACTTGTCAGACAGTGTTATTTTGAGGAAAGGGCATTGTAAACCTTAACATTATACAGATGAAGAGGAATCCAGTCCCACAAGCCTGAACAAGGTACAGCAGGTGATGAAACTATCTTAATGTGGGCTGGTTGTTTGGGAGTATTTGCCATATTCCTAGTGAGAGGGTAGTGATGGTCTACTAAGAGGGAAGGCAGTAAGGAAGAAGAGAGAGAAGTTGGCACTGCAGGGGAGAAAATAGATGTCAAGAGCCAGAGCCTGACCAAGGTTACATCATCCTCATGCTTTCTCTGTTCCCTCTGGTGTTAGACTTCAGTAGCATAGCTTCTGCCTTAGCTATCAAGAGTTTTCCTTCAATCATTCCAGGGCTAGGTTTCAACATTCTCTGGTTTCTGCTACTAATAATTTGCACTCTCTGTTTGTACTATACTCCTAGACGTTGATGTGGCAGCATTCTGTAGATATTGGGTCCTCTTCCATTAAGAACTCTGAAATTCAGTCTGTTCATGGTCAAAAGGCAACACTGTCCCTGGTTGGCAGAGAGCTGACTTCATCCCCTGGGTACGTCATCATACCTTATTCCTTTATTTGCGCCCCTAAGAAAAGAAGGGGGAACTTATACTGTCTTGGGACTGAAGGGAGGGATGATATAATTTCAGAATAATGGCAATGTAAGTGTTCACTCTTTCATTTTGATACCTTATTATTTATCTTGCATTGTCTTTTAAGGAAAAAATTTTGCATTATTATGATTTTGTTCAGTTGTTTCAGTCCTGTCCAACTCTTTGTGATCCCATTTGGGCTTTTCTTTTGCAAAGGTACTGGAGTGGTGTGCCATTTCCTTCTCTAGCTCATTTTATAGATGAGAAACTGAGGCATACAGGGTTAAGTGAGTTGCCCAGGGTCCCAGCTAGTAAGTATGTGAGGCTAGATTTGACCTCAGGAAGATGAGACTTCCTGACTTCAGCCTCAGAGCTCTAGCCACTGCAGCTGCTTTAGATAAGATTTAAACCTCAGTCCCCTAACCCTGAGTCTAGCATGTTTTTCTCTACACTGTTGTTATTCTGTCATTTCAATTGTGTCCAACTCTTCACGACCCCATTTGGGGTTTTCTTGGCAGATATTAGAGTGGTTTGCCATTTCCTGTTCATTTTACAAATGAGGAACTGAGGCAAAGAGGGCTAAGTGACTTGCAGAGTCAACTAGTAAGTGTCTAAGGCCAGATTTGAATTTAAGATTATCTTCCTGACTTCAGGCCCGGCACTCAATCCACTGCACCACCTAGCTGCCCTTCATTATGTATGATGCCTCTTGATTAATCTTCTCAGTCTGGGTAAGAAGGATGCAGACAGGAAAAAAGAGAGTTTTCAAGTAGTGGTTGAATAAGATGATGAAACCAAACAAGTTTTAAAAGATGGAAGGTAATGTTGCAATATCAGGTAAATGTGAAATGTTATTGGTATCATCATCATCATTTTTATACAAGTGAGACATTCATCTTTACTCTAATAACTTGGGGGTTTGACTGTACAGATATAGGAATAAATCCCAAAGCAGTAATGAGTCACTTCCTGTATGTTAAAATAAATCTATTTCATTTTGAGGTGATATTATACAGAATTTTCCATACCCAGCACTTTTCAATCCTTTTCTTCAACAAAGTATACATAATATATAAGCCTGAGGCATCTGTGTAGTCTGCAAGACTTTGGCATCTCATTCCTTATTCTTCATGCATGTTTTCCAAAATGTTCTTTGACATTCTCCCATTCTCAATTTTTCATTGAATTCATTGAGCATCAGGTTGTATATTGATTTCATTTTGAAGGTCTTTTTTGAGTTTGTCATGGGATTTCCTTGACTCTTCATCCTTCTCGACTATTCTTGGTACATAAGTTGCATTAATTTTCATAGTGGTTATTTTGTGAACACTTATGAGTACTGCAACTGAATTCAGTCAAATGTTCTATGAAATGATGCTTCATGTGGCCTTTGGGTACATAATAAAGCCAATTTCTTTGTTTACCTCTCCAAGGAAAATCTGGGAGCTGTCCTTCCAGTTCGCTACAACTTCCTTCAGTCTTCTAGTTTCATCTATCTTGAGAGTGACAATGTCCATATGATTCAGTTACCCCAGCTTTTTTAAAAGCAAAATGGCAAATTACCATAGTCATAGATTTGATCGTATTTTTTGAGCCTGTGATCTTACTACTTAAGATTGTCTTAAAAATATAACCTTTTGCCTTGAAAAAGGCAAAAAGGTGTATTCGTCTAAAAATATTGCAAAAACTAAGAAAAATCAATAATTGGAGAATGTTCGAATAAATCATGGTATGTGAAAATAATGGAATGATAGGATATAATAAGAATTGACAAATATGAAGATACAAAGAACATGGCAATATAAATGCTACATAATGCAGAAAATACTATGAAAATAAGAATATTTAAGCTGATACCTGTATAACAATGACAGAAACACAAATTGCAAAAAAAAATGCATAGAAGAAAAAAAGGAGACAAACATTTAAAAAAACAGCATTTTTACTGTGAGTATATGTTAAAATGTGTGTGCATATTTATATGTATACGTGTGTTTTCACAAATGTATATGTATGTGTGCATATATTCACACATGTGTATATGCATATATTTGGTCAGCCCTATGATTTCATTGTTCTGGAGAACTCCAATTGCAGAAATTCTATTAATGCAGGCCATCATCATTTCTGCAATTTACAATCTGAAAGAGCTGCCTGGAGCATCGAGAAGTAAGTAACTTACCCAGAGTCACACAGCCTGTACATGCTCAAGATAGAACTTGAATCCAGGCTTTCCTGACTTGGAGAACACATCTCTATCCACTTTTCCATGCTATTTAAAATTAATATGAATTTTATAACTAAATAAAATTAGAATTTACTGTTTTGTGTGTAATCAATTTAAATTTAGTTTATTTTTGTTTAATTTAGACTTTTAAAAAGGGTGAACTGCCTTGAGACCAGTATGGATGCATAAGCTAATCAATGATGAATTTAGATATTTTATATATATGTGTGCATGTGTGTGTGTGTTTGTGTATACATATATACATATATAAATGAAACGAAGACAGATAACTGAGGATACATACAAAAGAGCAGCGCAGTTCTATAATATTGTCAGGAGCACTAATCCTTAGAATGAGCTGAAGTTGATGCTATTTGCCAAGAATAGTAATAATAACTGATATTTACATAATTCTTTAATATTCATAAAGTGTTTTACATATATTACCTTGTCTTATTTAATCCTTATGACAACCCTGTGAGGAAGGTTCTATTATCATGTTCATTTTCTAGATGAGGAAGTTGAGGATCAGAGAGGATAAGTGATTTGCCCAGAGGTATAGTCAGTATCTGAGGCAGAATTCAAATCCAGGTCTTCCTGAGTCCAAGTTGAACTTTTTTACCCTTTATGCTATGCCACTTCTCTTTCCTGTATTGAAGGCAAGAAGAAAATCAAAGCTCAAGGTAGACAAGGTGATGGATATTAAAGCAGAGAAGAAGAAAAAAAAATAGCTTACATTTATACCAATAATGCTTTAGGGTTTGCAAATCACCTTACAGATATCTCATTTTACCTTCACAACAACCTTGGGAGATAGATGTTACTATTATCCTCATTTTTAGATGAGAAAACTGAGACAGGCAGAGGTTAAGTAACTTACCCAGGATCACACAGCTAGTAAGTGACTGAGACTGGATTTGACCTCAGATCTTCTGGACTCTAGGCTCAGTGCTATCTATCTTTTTCATGACTTAGCTGCCTCATATAATACTTCTTATTTTTGTCTCTATTTTTCCATCAAGCGCAAGAATCTTTGGTATGAACAGTATAGAGAAAATAAGCATACTACATTTGATTGGAGTTGAATGCAAGATGTTAAGAAAAATCCTAGTGTAATGAGTTCAAGTCCCCTAGTACAGGGAAACTGTGGAATTTTTTTAGTCAGAAGACCTGTTTGAATACTATTTTTGTCACTTCTTACCTGTGTGACCGCAAACAACTGACTTAATCTTCCAGAGTCTCATGCTTCTGATCTGAAAACTGAAGGGATTAGACTAGATGGCCTTTCCATACAGATCTAAATATTTATTCCTATGCACTCTTTGTGTTTCAGCATCCTCATTTGTAAAATGAGAAACTTAGGCTATTAGGGGCAGCTAGGTGGCACAGTGGATAGAGCACTGGCCCTGGAGTCAGGAGGACCTGAGTTCAAATCTGGCCTCAGACATATATCACTTACTAGCTGTGTGACCCTGGGCAAGTCACTTAACCCCATTGCCTAACCAAAAAAAAAAGAAAGAAAGGAAGAAAGTTAGGCTATTAGATACTCTGTAAAGTAACTTCCAGCTATTAATTTATAATCCTATTGTTATTGTCTTAAAGGACAAGAAATGATCAGTTACTGATGGGTTAGAATTTCCAAATTGTATATGTAGCCAGACTAGTTAAAGAAAACTAGAATAGAATGAAAAATGATGATGAGAGGAACATTCTGAGTATAATTATCATAGTTCCAACCTTATTTATTTAAACAAATTGTTGACTGAAAAAATTGGTAGAAGCTCCTTTCTGACATTAAAGGCCAGAGTCAAATTAGGGACTTCACTTCTCTCTGGATAATTTGCTTAGTATTTGACTCATTTGCCTCCACAGAGCTGATACTTGAGAATCTCATCATATGGCACTGTAACAGTTCCAAGAGCAAGTTTTATCTGCACAGAAAAGAAAGCAGAAAAGACTTCCATTGCTATTAATAAGAGTGTTAAGTAACTCTCTTTTTTTTAATTCTTTCCCAGCAGGTTCTCCAGGCTCTACTCTACCCTCATCCCAAAATGTTTATAGTCACCATGACTCAAATTATTGCCCTCCAATGGGATTATATTTATAGTGCTTTGCAAACTTTAAAAAGTTACATACATATGAGTTATCATTATCATCATCATTATTATTATTATTATAGTTATTATTAATTACCCCTCCTCTTCTTCTTCCTCCTCCTCCTCTTCCTTCCACCACCACTACTCACCACTACCCTGGGTGGGATTTCAGTGAGGGGAAAGGTCAGTGTTGATTCCATTCTATCATTCACTCCTATCATGCTGCCTCTTGGTCAGTGACCATTGCTTGGCTCTTCTGCAGAAATTCTCCAGGATGTGCACATTTTTCCTGTCATTTCTTTACAAGCAGAATAATAGGAGGGTTATAGTGGAACCTCAACAGAACGTATTACAAGTTTTCTAAGACTCTAAGGCCATAACTTCATTGGTCCTTATTACTTCCACAGACCTACCCTATAGACAAACAGCTTCTTCAAGTGATAAAGGAAATGCCTTTCTTTTAGCCCTAATTGATCAAGTTTCCTTTTTCCATTACTATCTGAGTTAAAGTCAATTAGTCATGTGTGATTCCTTTTTCCTTTGCTTATGAGTAGGGTGTCTTTTTCTCTTCAGCATATTTTACTAAGCCTTCCTCTGCTCTCTCTCTCTCTCTCTCTCTCTCTCTCCTCTCTCTCTCTCTCTCTCTCTCTCTCTCTCTCTCTCTCCTTCCACCCCTGCAGGAAGAAATTGCTTATCATTCCAGCATTCCAATAATGTTATAATAAAACCACAAAAACTTATCAAGTGAGAGATTCTCTATGAAAAGCAGAGAAAAAGAGAGGAGTAGTAGTAAAAGATTGTTCTCTGCTAAAGGGTATTGAGACAGCTAATTCATGACCTAATAACAATAATGGAGAGGTCTGTGGTCTTCTTGTGGTATATATCTAAGACATAAAAAAGAACTTTCTACGATTTATAAAAAGTATGATGAGTGCCTACTTTTTGTGAATTATGTGGGCACAAATTACATTATTATAAAGAAACTAAAAGTTATCGCTAATGATTGTGAAGTCTTAAACAAGAAACTGAAGCCTATAGGGGCACATGCTCTGTTTTCCTTGTTGATGCCCATCGAAGGCAAGGGATACAGAAGAGAAAAATTAATTTAGGAAGTAAACAGCTGGCTGAGGAAGTAGTGTCTGAGAAGAATATTGGAATTTCTGGATCACTGCTTACAATATAGAATTTATAGATTCCTGGTTGGAGATGGAATAGACCCAACAAAGTTTAATAACATTGTATTTACCAGGCATCTTGCAAGTATAATTAAAAGTGATTTAAACTAAAAAAGGCTGAAGGCGAGAAAAGACTACTTGCCTCTATCCCCAAAGTTAGATACCATATACAGTAGCCTCTAAGATGAATAACAGAGGAAATAAGCCAAAATTTAAAGAACACAAAACCCCAGACAATACTCAGTATTAAACTCAGAGCCTCAAGTGTATATACATACATATCCGGAGTTTAAGCAACAAATAAAAGGTATTGGAGGCCCTAGTGAGATAAAACCCAGGAATGGATGATGGCTCTTCATGGGTATACCTATTTCAAAATAAACAAAATAAGTAAAAGGGAGCTTGGGATAGCATTGTCTATTAAGACACACTTACTTAGGTGAGGGAATCCAGAAACCTGCTGGGGGAGAATACATGATGGAAAATATTTGAGTTAAAGTTGAAGGAGAGAGAAATAAAAGTTATTTAGTCATTAGAGTATGCTACAAATCACTGAGAAAGAAGCAGATAGGGAATTAGAGAACCAGATCATAAGCAGGTACAGAGACACAATACAGTAGTGATGAAGGATTTCAGTTATCCAGATGTATTCTGGAGCTCTCTGCCAAAAGCAGTGTGACTTCTTGACTCACCTTAGTAATAATTTAACTCTTCAAAAGTAGAAGGACCAGGGGCAGCTAGGTGGTGCAGTGGATACTGCATCAGCCCTGAAGTCAGGAGAACCTGAGTTCAAATGTGGCCTCAGACCAAACACCTGACACTTACTAGCTATGTGACCCTGGGCAAGTCACTTAACCCCAGTTGCCTAAAATTTCAAAAAAAAAATTTTTTTAATCTCCAAAAAAAAAAAGTGGAGGGACCAACAAGCGGAAATTCTGTTTTGCATTTGATTCTCATTATCAGAGAGGATCTGGAAAGGAAATGATAGGAACCTTAGGTGCAGTGGCCATTCCATCCTAGCTTATAATAGAGGAGGAAGAAAAAAACTGGGTAGAAATTGATGTGTACCCTAGATTTTGTGAAAATAGATTTCAATGGGTTTAGAGTTTAGTAGGTAAGATCTCATGGAGTAAAATGCTTAGGGTGGGGGTGGGGCAGCCCAGGCGGGATATGAGATGCTCAAGAATGAATTTCTGAAATCACAAAGGGAAACAATTCCAATGAAGGGGGGGGAAAGTGAATTTTCTAGAGGGAACAATACGGATGCAATGTGAATTCACCAACCAACTTAAATTTTAAAAAGAAACGTACACAAGGTAATAGAAGATGAATATAAGAGTGTGGTATGGCCCTATAAAATAGTTTCAAGAATGCTAAAGCTTGGACTGAACTGGGCTTGGTAAAGTAAGTTAAACGCAAGAAAAGAAACTTTTTATTATATTGGGAGAAAAAAGGAGGATCAAAGAATGGATAGGAACTTCTCTTGAGGTAGATGGGATATTAATTGACAACAGAGAAAATCCAGAGTTAAGTCTCATTGCATTTCTGTTTTTATACAGAATAAATATATAATGGCAATGACTGAAGAAAAATGACTAATGGGGTTTTGACACTCAAGAAAAGGAAGGCAGCAAGAGAGGAGAACACTTAGCTGCTCTTATTTAAGTCAAATCACCCGACCTTGATGGACTACATCCTCAGGTTTTGAAGAATTGGCACACGTGATCAGAGGGCCACTGTCAGTAGATATTTGAATGCATAGACATATCCGGCAATACATCTAGGTGTCTGTGTACACATGTATCATGAGTCGAGATATACATCTGAATGTACAAGTACACAATACCATGAATATTCACGTGAGGCCAGATGTACATCTAGACATACATGTACGTACATACCACAGATCTAGATGTGCATGTACATCTGGGTATATTTCTAGACATGTATGTGGAGGTGTGCCATGAGCATAGGCATGTGTGTACACGTGAGTTACAAGTCCAGATGCATGTGTACGTGTGTCTATATGTACGTCTTGATATATATATACATGGATGTCATAACTGACTGGGTCACTTGACATTTAGCACATTATATACCCTATATTGTTCCCTAGTCCTTTCTTTGTCATGACTTTCTGAGATCAGGAATAGCATAGAGGAAACTTGGTTTCATAATATTATTATCGGCTCCTGGATGTCTGGCTATTTGCTGTGGGGGATAAATATGCAGTATGAAACATAGCTAAAAATCTGCTTACTGCTAGACACATGCAATTTCATAACCAGAAATTGTGGATATTCCTCTCTTTTCCTTCTCACAATACTCACAGGAATTATTCTTCCTTGTTGTTGTTGTTCCATCATTTTTCAGTTGT